AACAACCGAAACTTTTTTTCCAGCAAAAAATCCAATTCCAATCAGATGTCCAGTTGCTGGTAAATTTAATTTTACACAAAGAGGTGACGTACCATTCGAAACGCGAATATTAGGCGGTGTAACGGATTCTCCGCGTCCAAATCTTTATTGTAAAGAAAACATATCGGATTTATCAGTTTGCGATACGGATCAAAAAGAAATGGCCATAGATGAAACATTTTGTTTGAGCGTCGATCATTTGGGAGCTCCCGTCGATATTTACAGTTAATAAATTAATTTTTTACAAAGTACTTCCCCGCCCGCCCGCCCTCCTCCCCCCTCCCAGCATCACGCTAAACTTTTATTATTTATTTTTTAATCAGGTGATCCCGATTACAAATTAAAATGCATCGGATTTTGGAAAGAAAATTTAAAATCTTATTTGATAACCTACGACGAATTGGATGCTTTCAGCAAGTACAGATGTTGGGTCTATCAAAGAGCGGATTTAAATAGAGTTTTAATGTCGGAATCCATCGGAGCTTATTGCGATCTTAAACAGGATGTGACGTCATGGAATTACACCGAGGGTGCAGCCGTTGCCATCGAAATGCAAGAATACGAAAGAGAAAGTAAGGGAAATTTTATTAAATTAAAACGTTGACGCGCACGTGTACGAATCTTTTTTTTGTCCCCCCCTCCCCCCCTTTCACGTTTTTCCGTAACTTTTTTCAGGAGATCAGTGTCCGATGCATTTCGACGACGGAACGAATCCTTGGTTGCTGTCGGAAAACACTTTGAAAATATTTTCCTGGGATGGTTACGGAGCCGCTCACAAAACGGAAATAAGAAATTTATTATTGTTTGCGATGGGAGCACTTTACTTATTGGTTCTCAGATAAACAACAACCGCAACACGATGCGTACAAAAAAAGAAAAACATTTCCGTCCATTAAAAAAAAAAAAAACAAGAATTTATCCGTCCTTATAAGTGTTCTTATTCGCGATTATTGCATTTGCACGTGTATAAAATATATACTATGTATATATCGTGTACATAAATTTTTTTATTACGACGACGATTTTAATTCGCCGGGAAAAAAAAAAATTATAATCAATTTACAACGCGATGACGTCAATCAATCAATCAATCAATCAATCATTCCAATTTACAGATTATACGGAAACGAAAATTAAAAAGAAAAAAATTATTATCCGATCTCTCGTATCGATCGATATTGACGATTTATTAAGAAAATTATCGATTGTATTTATTTATTTAAAAACAAAACGAAACATTTGACGTCATCGTAAATTATTATTATTATTATATTTTTTTTACTTTTTCCGTTTTTAAATATTTTCTTTAAATTAAAAAAAAAAAAAAAAAAATTGATGTAGTAGATATACACATAGTTTTTTTTCTTTTTTTGACATATTTATATTTTTTTATTATAACGATCCGAAATAATTAAATAAATAAGTATTTTAAAATTAAATTCGTTTTATTATTATTATTATTATTTACGTCGTAGAGAATTAAGAAGTAGATGAAGAAGAAGATTAAGTCTGTCTATTGCCTTTTTTTAAAGCTTTTTCATTTATATTATTTATTATTTTGTTTTTTTTTTTTAATATAATTTTTTATTTCCGTTTCGCATCGATATAATAATAATAATAATAATAATAATGATGATTTGATAGATTTGTTCTACTACTTTATGGTAAAATAATTAAATAATGTAATATTAATAATTTTCAATTAATTTGACATTAATATAATTTTTTTTTTTATTTTAAATAATCGATACACGTCATTATTAATTCATACGGATAGATAAATATATATATATATATAAATAATTTTTTAAACGAAAAATTTCAATAAATAAGAGGGTAAAAATCCTATTAAAATAACAATAATAATAATAATAATAATAATTATGCACGGTAACAAAATTAATAAAATGAAAAAATAAAAAAATAAATAATAAATTTTTTTTTTTTTTTTTTGTTCTAGACTAGAATATTAATAATTTTTGTACTTTTTTTTCTTCTTTAAAAAAAAAAAAACAAAAATTTTATTACGCCGCAGTTTTTTTTGTTATGTTTTGCGTTATGTTTTTATGTTTTATATGTTTTCATGTTTACGCAGGTACATTTACCATAAATGAACACTCAGTTATATAAATAGACAATTATTATAAGCCGATTAAGGTATGATACATTTCCCCTCTCTCTCCTCTCACCCCCTTCGATTGTTTTATCACGATGTGCGAATGATAACGTGCTGACGCCTTGTCTTCCCTACTCCCCTCCCTCTCCCCACCCCCGGAAAAACAAACAAAGAGAAAAAAAAAATTTAATTGAATTACCTGTTGATTACGACGTTCTTTGGTTTCTCCCTCTCTCTATCTCTCTTTGTACGCATGTCATCTCACTTTGATCGTGACTAGGTATCCCATTTTTCTTTTTTATTCCTCCTCCTCCTCCATCTTTTCTTTTACCAAATATCACATTTTTCGATCGGATTCATTTTCGATCCGGGTGGACAATTAAATTCTTTTGAAAATTCCCGAAGGTTACTCAAAGGTCCGATAACGCGAAATTTCGACGGCGAATGAGGATCTTTTTCGATTTGTAAAAGTGTCGCTTCGGCTGTCGAACTCGAACACCAAACCTTTGTCGCAAAACAAAAACAATCAATCAATCAATCAATCATTCATTCAAAGATTTTTTCATAAAAATCTTAATTAACAATTACCTGAGCAAAACTAAGGAAAAACAATTGCTTGTGTGTTAAATTGAGTCCAGGAAGAGGAAGATCGGATTCGTTTTGTTCTTGTTTCAAATACGCGTGATAAGCCGCTTTGAGTCCACCATTGTCTGCTATGTTTTCACCTGTTAGACAAAGAGAGAGAGAGTGTGAGAGAGAGAGAGAGAGAGAGAGAGAGAGAGTGAAAAAATTGCATATAAAATAAAATAAAAAAATTGACATGTGGAAATGATCGTGTGAAAAAAAAGGGGCCGTAAATGATGAACATAATGAAAGTAAAGTCACGTTTTATGGGTTTTTTGAAAAAAATTTTTTTTTCTTTTTTTTTTTTTTTATGTGACACCCACCCAGGGTTTGCTTTCCGTTCAAGTGTCTCCCATTTATTTCGTAGTTTGAATATTGTTTAACGACACAATTTGTTTTCTCTTTGAATTTGTCGATCGTTTCGTTTTTCCACCATTTGTGAAGATTTCCAAACTGATCGTATTCTCGTCCTGTTTAACAACAAAAAATATTAATAATAATAATAACAACCGAAGTAAATAATCGAAAAACAAAAAAAACGATTCTACTACGTAATTAAATAAGAGAAAAAATCATTTTAGGAAAAAAAAGAGGACATACAAATACAAACGGCTCTGGAACAAACACAGAAAGGTGAAGAAGTTTTATTATGGCGGCTTAATTTTTCAATTTTCATCTGTTCACGGCGGCGCAAACGAATTCATTAAATTTCTCGTGATGAAACAAAACATAAAAATTTAGAAACGGATACAGGATACGAGCAAACAAACAAACAAACAAACAAAAAGTAGAAAATTATTATTATTATTTCATTAAGAAAATAATCGTACCCAAATCATCGAATGCGTGTGTGAGTTCGTGACCCATGACGACTCCCATAGAACCAAAATTTAAACTCGAAGAATGATTCACGTCGTAAAATGGAGATCTTAAAATTCCGGCTGGAAAAACAATTTGATTTTTCGTCGGCGTGTAATATGCGTTCACCGTCGAGGGAGTCATGTCCCATCTGAAAAAAATTTTAAAATTTGACGTGAGTGAGAGGGGAGGGAAGGGGAGGGGCGGAAACGCGCACACACGCCCACGTGCACACGCGCACGTGCACGCGCACACACTACCTCGTTTTGTTAACGATTTGATCCAATCTTTCAATGTTTTTTTTCAAATTGTACTGATTCACTCTTATGTTGTTCATGAAATATTCATTTTCTTTTATTTCTAAATCTTTGTATTTTTCATCCAGTTGTTGTGGATTTAAAATAAATTCGGGAAATCCTACGGGAAAATTATCAACAAATAAATAAATAACTGTATCGAATTCCGCCAAAAAAATGTAAAACGTTTTACCTATCATGTCGGTTATGGCGTTGGCTTTATTTATCGCAGCCATTCTCGTTTCTTTATCCATCCAAGTTAAATTTTTCAAATTATCTAAAAAAGCGTTTCTTATTTCACTTATCATATTTTCAGCCTGAAATAAATAAAAATAAAACAGCAAAAAACATCATCGTATGATTGTGCAACAGCAGCAGCAACAACAACAACAACAACATTTAAACTCACCACAGTCTTTGAATTCCCCTGAAAAACTTGTCTGACAAACATGGCACCTATTGCAAAACCTATGACGTTGTTTGTATCCGTAATGCAAGACAACCAAGGTTCTTCTCCTCCATCGGATCCCATCAGAGCTTTTCTTAATCCTTTGTGAGCATCTCGAAATGCTTTCGGCAAACAACACGTCAAACTTCGAACCATTTGCCACACCAAATAATTATTTAAAGTTCTGAAAATGATAATGATGATATATATATACATACACACACACACACGTGCTTGTAACAAATCTTTTTGTTTGTTTTACATTTTCGTGTCGTCAGTCTTCATGTACTCGACAACCAAATTCGAAACTTTTTGTAGGTACTCCGGAGCGTGTACGACAACCATTTCTTTTGAAGTTATCGGCCTGTTGACTTTTTCCATTGCGTTTGCAAAATACTGTTGCCACGACATCTGCAACACGATAAATACTTTACACGATCCTTTCGCGCTTAAGGATTCGCCATCGGAAAAAAAAAAAAAAAAAAAAAAAAAATTATTATTTACAAAAGGTGCTTTTTTTTGCAAATCCGCTATCGACATCAAATGATAAAGTTTCATTTCGTCTCTGAGATCTTCTTCCGGTTGCGTGATTTCCGCAAGTTTCGTTTCGAATTCTATAACGTTTTTCATTTGTTCTTGAGTTGAAGTGAGATTACCTCCTAAAAGTACTCCCACCTTACCGAAAAAAAAAAAAAAATAATAATAATAATAAAACTCTTCTCTTTTTCTTTCGTGAGATGTAATAAAAACCTTCGTCATGTAATCCAAATAAGCATCCAAAACTTTTTTGTTCGCCGTTTTATTTAAATAATTTTCTCTCGTGGGTAACGTTAAACCACCCTGATCGATTTGTATGACGTATCGACTCGAATTCTTATCATCTTCTCCTGTTGTTGAACATAATAAAGAAGAACGAATAAGGAAAAAAGGAAAGAAAATTTCATTCGTTTGTGGAAAACGTATTTACTCACCCACGGCCCAAGAAAACAAACCCCCCATGTTGTACTCGTTGTGTAAAAGGTGAAGAGTCTTCTGCAATGACCAATTTGATAAATTGAAAGGCCCTGATAAATTCCAACCTCCGACTTCGTTTAAAAGATCCAACATGGGTTGAGCTCCCAATCTTTCGATCGTTTCGTTCGAATCCAAACAAGATTCGTAATAAATTTTTGCCTTTTTTTCCGCATCCGATTTAAATTCGGTCGAAGGTTTTTCTTTAACAAAAACCAACAACATCATTTATAATAATGATAATTATAATTCCTCCCCTACCCTCCCCTTCTCTCGGGATAACGAAAAAACAAAAAGGTAAATAAATTACCTAAAATGTGTTTTATTATGAGTTGATTTTGTTGTTCCAATTTTCCAAAAGTTCCCCATATCGATTTTCCATCCGGTACGGGATTTTCAGCAACCCACCTTCAGGGGCGGGGAGGGAGCAAAGAGAAAAATCAACAGAAAAAAAAAAAAAAATTGAAAAAATCATTTTCCCGGAGGAGTGCTGCAAACTTATTATTATTATTATACGAACCCTCCACATGAAAATTGATAAAAATCATCGCACGGATCGATATTCAAATCCAGCGAGGATATAATATGTGCTGCCGACTTGATGCAATTCGGTTTAAGACAAACATCATCTGCAATCAACAACAACAACAACAACGACAACGACAAACAAAAAAAATTTCAAAATTTTCCTAATTGAATTTTACCCTTGTTATGAGATCTTATGTGTAAAACGGTCACTCCAGAATTTGACACGGACGACGAAAGTATCGTTATGAATATGAAAATTAATAAAACTAAAATACCGACGATGACGAGAAGGGATTTTTCCAATTTACTCCTGGATTTCCATAGAGTGACGCCCTGGAATGACGATAACCAAAAAAAAAAAAAAAAAAAAATTTTCTTTTTTTGTAAATCGAGAAAACTTGCGACGATAAAAAGTAGATCGCACGACAACCGGAGCAACAGCAACAACAACAACAACAACATTATCGTTTTTTTTTTTCTCTCTCCTTATTTTTCCTTTTTTTTTTTTTTTTATTTTCGTCGTCCTCATTTTCAGATCCTCATAGACGATTTAAACGTGCCAAGAACATTATGTTTTTGTTTGTTTGTTTGTCTTCTTCTCCTTTTTTTTTTGTCGGTGATAAAATTAAATAAAAATTCAAGGTTGACGTTACTTAAATTTTGATGGGAAATCGTGTCGCGGTCGTAGGAGCGGAGCACATGCGATATATACGTGATTAAACAACAAACACCTCTTAAGCTCCTGCTGCTGCTGTTGCTGCTGTTGCTGTTACTGTTGCTTCTACTACTGAATTCGATTACGTAAGAAACAAAAAAAAAAAAAAAAAATTAAAACGATTCGAAACGAAAACGTTTGTATTAAACAACAACCGAAATCGATTTCGAAACAAAAAAAAAACAATAAAAATTTTTCCATTTAAACCTAACGTAAACCTCGTTGGCGAAGGGGGAAAATGACCACCTCCCCCTCCTTCCTCCTCGTGGTTTTATTTACGAATTTCCCCGCCTCCAAAAAAAAAAAGAAAATCTCTTACAATAACCGACGATGTATAGAAAAAAGATGGCGATAGAAATCGATGGTCGATTTAATGTCATTAAAAAAAAAAAAAAAAATGTATTCGATTGTTGACAAACAATGAAAGAGCATTTCAAGGTTGAAATAAGGAAAGAAAAACAGAAAGAATGAAACTAATATAAGGAGTTTTTAAGTGCTCAAAAGAACTATGTAACGAAATTAAATCTCCACTCCATACGACGATTCTCGAAGAACAGGAAAAAGAGACAAAGAAAGAAAGAGAGAGAAAAAGAGAGAGATAGAGGGGGGGGGGGCATAAAAAAAAAGAAAAAAAAATTCTAATTGAAATCTGGAATTGAAAAGCCCAAAGCTTGAAATGCCAGAATATTAATACGATCATAAAATTTAACTATCGCGCCCCACCCATATCTCAAGAGGGCGGTAGCCAAAAACAAAGTTGAGATGAAAATATAATAATAATAATAATAATAAAAACAAGTCCCGTAGGTCACTAATTACACGTCGGTACAACAACAAGAAGAAGAAGAACAAGAAGATCAAGATGAAGAATGAGGGAAAAAAAAAAAAAAAAGATTTACAAAACCCTTTTTTTTTAAACAATTTTTTCCTACCACCATCACCCTCCCCTTTCCTCCCCCACCCCACCCCACCCCTAATTCCTAACATCGAAATCTTTTTCCTTAACAACCGGAAAACTCTTCCTGTCAGGAATTTTCACGCCATTTTGTTTTCAATTTTCAAAACTTAAAAGTTTAACGAAAATTACTTGAGAGCAACACACACACAACCCAAACGTTAATTAAATCACCCCTTCGTATTATCATTATCATTATCATTATTATTTATTAAATTTTTACATCGATAAATATTATTAATAATAATAATAATGATACGAATGATAATAAAAAATTACAATTTTTATTAAGGGCTGTTATTTAAAAGAGTTATAATAAAAATTAAAAACAATCAAAATTTTATTTATTATTATTATTATTATTATTATCGTCGTTATCCCCCCGGTTTAATTCAATTAACGTCAAATATTATAAATTACTCGTGATTGTAATACGATGATGATAATAATTATAAGTATTTAAAATAAAAAATACCCATTACACTTGTCAAAAAAAAAAAAAAAATTAAAAAATTAAAAAGGGGCTCCCCCGATTTCATAAACATTTTCTCTCTCTCTCTCTCTCTCACTTCGGGGGCTGCTTTTTCATTTTTTCATTTTTTTTGCATTTTTTCCATATATATATATTTATTACGGTAATTAATTTAATTTTTTTTAATGAGTAAAAAAAAAAAAACCGATTTGACAAATTGTGTATCCATCAAATAATCGATCATTACTACCGCTGCTACTACCCATATACATATAATAATCATTATTTTAATGGCGTAAGATCATTAATTTTATTATTATTATTATTATCATCATCATTATAAATTTAATGCAAAACAAAAAAAAATTTAATAATGATAATAAACGAAAATATATTTAAAAACAAAAAAAAGCCGTTAAAAATTCCATCCCATAATAAGAAAAATCAAATTAATTATAAAAGAAAAATTTATTACGATTACGAGAAACTTTTAATATCATTATTATTTAAAGGCAACCAATAATAATAATAATAATAGTAATGGTTTAAGAAACTTACCGTGTGGTACCTGATATGAGTTGCTGTCGATGAAATCCCTTCGTTGAGTTGAACCGAACCCATCGAACTAAGATCATCTTCTAAATCTGCGTGCTTGTATCGTGACATCTTCACCACCGCGCCCCCCCGGAAAACAAAAACCAAAAAAAAACAAAATATTAATAACAAAAAAAAAAAAAAAACGAAAATTCGTTAAACAATAGAGAGAGAGAGAGAGAGAGAAAACCACCACCATCACCATCACCACCACCACTTGACAACTTTAATTGAAACTTACGAAAGATGAAATTTTCAACGGTAAACAATACATAATTAATTAATTAATTAATTAATTTTAAACAAAAAAATTATTATTATTATTATTATTATTATTACTATTTTTTTCGTATATTAACGGATTCGATTTGAGTATTCGATTGTGTGATAAGAGTAAGAAAACGCGAGTGCGTGGGATGAAATTTCTTTCTAAGCATTGAAACACACACACACATATATATAATTGTAAATACAAATAGGAAATAAATTTCAATTAGTACGACAAGGTCACAACCGACAGCAACAACAACAACAACAACAACAAAGATGAAACTGATGCAAACAATAAGAACGATTCGAATAAAATCATCATCATCATCATCATCATCATCATCATCATCATTATTATTATTAATAATAAAATTTAAATGAAAAACCTTAAAGGTACCGATTTTTTCTCTTTTCTTTTTATAAAAAATTATTATTTAATTACTATTAATAAAAAAAAATCAAAAATTCCATTACGATGTAGTAGTAGTAAAAAAAAAAAAACGTGGTAGTAGTGGTGGTGGTGATCGTAGCAGTAGACAAACCGGTTACTTAAATAAATTATTAATAATTGATAAAATAAAAATTAAATAAGAAAAAAAAAAAAACCGAAATGAAATTTTTTTTTTTTTTTTTAACGGCTGTAAATTACTATATTAGTGTTATAAATTTGAAATCTTCCATTGAAAACATTATTATTAATGATAATAATAATAATAATAATAATAATAATAATAATAATAATAATAATAATAATAATAATCATTATTATTATTTATTAAACAATAATCATTTAAAACTAATATTAAATGATTATGTTACGAACGTTGTTAATTTATCGTAACTAGAACGCAATGTTAATAACGTTCACGAATCAAACCGTTTATTATTATTAACCTTTTTCTTCTCTCCCTCCCTCCTCCCCCCACTCGTCAACGTAGTAAATTTATCTCATCGTTGATAAGTTAAACATAGATGTAAATTATAATTATAATTTTTTTTTTTTTGTGAAATAATTAAATTTTATGCGTTATAAATTCAAATTTTTTCTTTAATAATTTTCCCATTAAATTTTTATAAAATTTGAATTTTATTTTAAATTGAAAACGTTTTTTTTTTAAAATCAAAATCGAAAAAAAAAAACGTTAGCAATAAATCAATACATTTTATTTTTATATTATTATTATTATTATTATTATTATTATATTTAAATTTTTAATTATATTTCGTTGGGATTTCTCCCCTCCTCCTCACATTTTGTCATTGTTTATCTCTTTTGTTCTGTTGTTCTTTAAGATTACAATAAATTAATAATAAATAATTAATGAACAAAAACATTTGACCGGAAATAATAATAATAATAATAATAATAATAATAAATAATCATTTAATTTTTTACATGTTTGTGAGATAATAATAATATTTGTTTGAAAGATTTTAATTCTTATTTTATTCCTTTTTAATCATCAGGAATCATCATCACATTGTTAAACAATTAGTTAACAACAAATTAAATAAATAAACAATGCAATAAATAAATATAATAATGATATTGATTTAAATCAATAATAATAATAATAATAATAATTTGGTTTAACATTATTCAGAAAATATTTTAGAAAGAATCAAAAAAAAAATTATTTGAATTTTCATAAAATCTGTATAAAAAAAATTGTTATTTATAAAATTTAATCTTTTTTTTTTTAATGGTGGTTGTGGTTGTTGTGTTTGTTGTTGTTGTTGTTTTTAACAAATGATTTATGATGACCAAAATAGAAATTAAAAAAATTAATTAGATTAATAGTTGCATTCGAAAAATTAATTTAATTCGTATTGATTGAGATGTTAAATTCAAAAAGTTTTTTTGTGATAGTTTTAAAAATTAAAAAAAAATTTTTTTAAATATATTTGCCGATTAAAATAAGTATAAATTTAAAAAAATGTGTAAAAAAAAAAAAAAACTCAAGGCTGTTTGAAAATCAATTCTGATTACTTTTTTTTTTTTAAAAAAAACAAGAAATGGTTTTCTAACTGTTTTCGATAAAAAAAAAAAAAAAAATTTATTCTACGAGTGTTGATTATCTGCAAACACACAAAAGTACAACTTAATAATAATTTGATATGCCTTATTTAATTTTAATATTTAAAAATTTTAAATCAAAACAAGTTTTTAAACATTTTATTATAAGTGGTACCTTTTAACATTTTTTTTTTAACTTGATTTAAATTTTTACAAAAAAAAAAAAAAATTAAATTAAAATTTATTGTTCAACATAATAAATTCACATACATAATAGTTTTTTATATATTGAGAAAAAATTGATATTTTTAAAAAGGGGTTTTGTTTTTTTTTTTTTTAAAGATATTAATAGATTGAATTTAACACATAAAATTTTTAAAATTAAATTAATAACAACAATAATTAAACATTGCAACAACGACAACAACAAAATTTTATATTTAAATAAAGTTATATTTTGAAAAGAAAAAACCATTGAAATAATGAACAATTTTTTGTTTTGAGTT